GAAGAGAGTCGTCCATGAAAATATCTATAAAATAGAGCCAGATCGACAACTTTTTTACTGTGTTCCAGAGAAGTGAGTGGGTTTGAGAGCGAGGCATCACCCACGAGACGAATTGCCCTTTTTTGGACAGAATCCAACAGTTTTAGGGTATGTTTGGGTGCTGCACTCCAAATATATGGAAACATTATTCCAGGACATGTCGGATCTGTGCCTTATAGATAATAAGCAGCTGACTGGAAGTGAAATAGGTCCTGGCCCGAAACAAAAAACCCAGTTTTCGGGATGCACTTTTAGCAATTGAGCTCTCGTGATTCTCCCAAGAAATGTTATTGCTGATAGTGATACCAAGTATACAAATACAATTTTTCATGATTGTTCTTCATTTTTCGGTTTTGTTTGAGTTAGACTGGATCTTATTGTATTTTCAGTTTTGAACACAGTTCACACTTGAAACTTATCACCAACACGTTTTATTTTTCAGTTATGCCGGGAATGTACGGTATTATATTCATCGTTATTGACGGTTGTTTTAGTTGTAGTGTATTTCGTTTGTTTTCAATTTGGTGTATCGTGCTATCAGTGACATGCTTTGGATAGGAATTGAGCTGATCACACCATATCAAATTTTGGGATCATAATAATCAGTCACTGATATTGTAACAATCCTATTGGAATCCATAGGCAACCACCCTGTAGGTACACGGTTGATTAGGAGATGAAAGGGATGAAAATAGATAATGAAAACGAAAATAGCCAGCCAAAAGGTAACGACGGCGTGAGACCATATCGATTTTCAAGTTCATTGTAGGCTTCGATAACCCAATTCAACGGTCATCTTTTCATCGTGCTTCATCCATTTCCAATTGAAAAAGTATTACTACCTATAAATACGGGATGGTCCCAAAACGTAGTGACAGAAACTTATTGCATGAAAACAAGATCGTCTTGTAGTTTATTTCAAGGTTTGCCTACATCAGTTATTCCAATGTACCCACTAAAAATGCAACATTACTGTTTTTTTACTTTTTTGGTGTATCGCCTTTTTTTTCAACAGTAAAAACACAAGAGCTTTTTTTTTATCGGATAAAATTCTCTTCCTAACGAAAACATTTGCCAATCAGTAATTTTTGGAGAAAAACTGATATGAAAAAATTGCGAGACCGTAGGTCGAGCAATTTTGTCTAATGTCAGTTTTTCGAGCGAAATTACTGATGGAAAATGTTTGAGTTAGGAAAGAAATTTATCCATTAAAAAAAAGTTCGAGTATTTTTTGGCATGATAAATCATCGACAATGTATAAATAAATAACAACAATAATTAACTTTATTGAAAAAACTATCTGAAGGAGCAGTTATTAAAACTACAATTTTTGAAAATATTATGGTTTGGTGTCGAAATTTCTATATTTTCTTCTCTGATGGTTTCGACACATGTCGAATATTCGTTCGTACACTTCGTAATATCCGATGATCGTAAGTTACTAACTAGATTTTCGTGATGTTCAGGGTCAATTTGTAAATAGGGTTTGATCGATGCTGAAGAAGAATGTCCAGTTATTTTTATGAGCTGCTGGTCACTTATTCCTGCTTTGGCTAACTGTGTAACTGTACTAGCACGGTTTGAATGATTGGTAATTTTATTAGTTGTGGTGTCAAGGCCAATTTTTGTTGCTGAAATTTTGGTCCAAGAAGATATCATGTTAATTCCCAGTGGAACATTTTTAAACCAACCTTTAGAATTTTTGTGCCTCCAAAAAGGGTTTGGAGTTAAAAAAAGGCGTTCAGATGTTATGTTTTCGTTTCTTCTTTCTAAAAGTAATTTTAATAACCTCACTGGACAAATAGTTTCATCGATTTGATTTTTTGTTATCCATTTGCTGTCTGCCAATCTTTTTGACCCACCTTGTGCCGTCTTAGAAAATATTGTATTATATTCTATTCTACCTGTAGTAGTTCCATCTTGATTTTTCTCTTCTTTGAAATAGTATATTTTACAGTTCACAGCTTCTCCTCCCCTCCAAGCTAATTCATAAGAAGCTATATGGAAAAATCTTTTTTGCAATCCATCTGGTTCATTTACATTCCATAGTTTGGCCATTTTTATGATATCATTCTTATCTATTGCAACAGAACCTAACTTTCTCTTATCCGGAATAGCTTGTAATTCTTTCCGTTTACTATTTCTTGCATCACGAGCTTCTTTGAAAGTTATATCGGCAAAAGGATCAACTTTGATATTGT